ATTTAAAGGACGCCGAGGAGCGGGAGAGGGATGCTCAGCCGCTCCTCCTCCTCCGGGGCCAGGACTGGCTTCTTATTTGCTGGGTGCGATCTCCCTGCAGCCCTCAGAGGCGGTGGCCGCTGCTGCTTTCATTTCTGGGCTGCCGTAACCAGAAATGCCTGCTGCCGGCCGCCCGCCCGCCCGCGGGCTCTGCTCCAGCCAGGTACGGTACCCAGGAAGTCCCCACCTGAACTGGGATCCGCTTTCCCTGGGGAGGGAGAGTTTCTTGGCCGGCCTCCCCGACACGAGGCAGGAGGCCTCCCTGCCCACACAGCAGCCCCGGGGCTGAGGGATGGGCTGGGGGCGCCGCCCCTGCCCCTGCCTCAACCTGAGCCTCCGTTCAGCCTCCGCCTCGGCTGGAGGAGGAGGAATTTCCCAGCTGCTGTGGCTCTTCTTGGGGGCAGAAAGGCTTCCAGGCAGCAGCCTGGGTCTGCGCTGGCCGCTGCTTCCCCTTGTGTCAGTCCCTGAAACAGACACCACTGCAGCCCGCTGCGGCAATCCAAGCTGCACCCTTGCATCTGGTTGCTGCAACGTTTGAAAACAAAAAAACAAAAAAACAAAAAAAAAACAACACCCTATCCGGCAGCCTCCTTGCAGCACAGAGGCTTGATCACAACACCTCAGCCTGGGCTTTGCTTCCCTTTCTTTCTTGGGCACAGTGTCATCTGCATTTTGTGTTTCTCTCCACCCCCCCCCCAGAAATGCAGTATTTTTGAGAGGCACCGGAGCCCCACGTGTGCACCCCAAAGGGACAAGGCGGTACAAGCTGCTTACTCTGCTTGTTTAGAGAATGCTGCATGCAGATCCCACCAAAGATCTGTTTATCTCTAACCTTTCATTTCTAAGACTATGGAGCTCAATAAAGCTCATTTTATTTGTATTGAAAAGATAAGAAACAAAAGCATTAGATTCCTTGCTGTTCGATGGCATTTTACTTCATGAATTCTTGATATCAGATGTCCTGATATGGGTTAGCTTTGTTTCACATTATCATTTAGCTTGACTAGGAGATTAAATACCAGTATTGTATTTTAATAATGACAGGCTATATTTGAGCTGGTGAGATTTGGCCAACCAGCTCATAAGCCATGGGATACTTCTCCCGCCCCTGTACATTTGTGATTAATGTTTTCAAAAAGAATTAATAAATTATGTGATTATTATTTAACACAACAAATGTCGGGCAACCCCCTCCCATCAACAAACAAATTGGACTTCCTAGATTAACAGTTCATTTGGGAAATGGAAGGGAAAGATTTAAGACAAAGACTTTAAAAAATTCAACACTAAATGGCATTTTTAAAACTGTGTCCTGAAATGTCCTACCTTATTGATATAATGAGCTTTTCAAACTTTGCACTTAGACAAAGGCAAGCACTCAACCACTCAGATTCTTAACTCCACTCACAGCCTTTTATTCTCATGAAATCTCTCATCAGACTGACTTCTTTTTTTCACTCATATGCAAACTAAAATTGAAGAGCTAATTTTCTCTTATTATCTATACTTTAATGTATAGATTCTACGTAAAATAGGACCCAAAATAACTATTATATCTGATAGCAAATGTAACACCCGTGTCCACTGACCTGGGGCCTCTCCCACCTTAGATGGCAATGAATAACAGGGACATCACAGGATACTTTGGAATGAATGATGGACAGGTTCTCAAAGCAGGGCTCCAGCTCCTACCTGGCACCAGCCTTTACTAGCCATGAGACCTAAGGCAAAGTCTTAACCTCCCTAACCCTTACTTTATTATAAAATGGGGATAATTGTACCTACTTCCTATGGTAGTTTGGAAGAGTAAATGACATTATGTATGAAAAGTACTCAGTATAGAATACTGTACATAGTAAATAATCACATTTTATTATTATTATTTTTTTTTTAGAGAGAGAATTTTTTAATTTTTTTTTTTTTTAGTTTGTGGCGGACACTACATCTTTGTTTGTATGTGGTGCTGAGGATCAAACTCAGGCCACACACATGCCAGTTGAGTACGCTACTGCTTGAGCCACATCCCCAGCCCCACATTTTATTATTTTTATTCATTAATATTATGAACTCTGAATGACTCCAGAACTGTTTTTAACTTAGATTATCTATCTATTTATTTATTTTTTACTGTTTATGTGACTGAGAAGGCATATTACTTTTGAACAACCATAGGAACTGTTTAGAGTCAGCAGGTTGGAGACATTTAAAATCAGCTGTAATAAGCAAACATGTTCTTCTATATTGGTAGTCAAATATATAGAGATTCTCTGAATGTTTATTCTCTGGCTTTTTAGAAAAGTTTTCAATTGTTCTATAAATGTACTAACTTCCTGAGGATGCCACTCATATATATTTCAAAGGAAACTATCATAAAAATTTAAATGTTATTTAGAAATGAATGTGTTATATGGCTTCTAATTTTCCCTATGAAGAGTGAATCAGCAACTAAGAGTTCCGTTTCTATCTGTTAAAACTCTAGTCTGTCCAGTGCATGCTATTTTCTTTTTCTAATTTGAATACCTTTAAAGAGAACATATATTGTACAAGAACAAAAAGGGCCTTTTGTTTTGCTGAAAGGCCTGCAAATCAAATAGAATGACACCTGCTGCAAGCTGGGATAAAACATTTACCCTTTTGTCTCCTCTTTCTCTTTTTCTCTTTATCTGGGGGGGGGCTTATAAAAAAAATAGAGATAGAGGAGGCACCAGACAAAGGTACTTTGAAATACAATAATAAAATCCGAACCTGTCCCTGGCTTTCTTCTTGATTTCAGTTGTCATTTAAGATGACCTCAAGGTACCTTAGATTTCATACCTATACAAAATGAGGGGATTCTTCCTTTAAAGTCATGGGAAACTAAACAATGAATCTTTAAGCAAGAAATTAGGGGTAGACATCGGGACTAAGAGAAAGATAACAGTAGTACAGGAAAAGCCAAAGGTCCCAGGAAATGGTATTGAAGACTGGAAAAAAGAAAGTAGCCTGAGACACATGACAGTGATTAATGAGACCATCTACCCTTACTGAACTTTAATACTGTGCTGAAATACACACTTCAAAATTATATTTAATCCTTACTTCAAACATATGAAGCAAGCACTCTTGCTAGCCTATTTTACAGATGAGAAAATTGAGGCTTAAAGGGGCAAAAAATAAGATCAAAGTCATATACCTGTTAAAATTTTGGTCTAGCCATTTTTAGAACCAGTTATCCTAACTTTATTTTTTATTTATTTATTTTTAATATTTATTTTTTAGTTGTAGATGGATACAATACCTTTATTTTATTTTTTATGTGGTGCTGAGGATTGAACCCAAGGCCTCTCATGTGCTAGGCAAGCACTCTACCGCTGAGCCACAACCCCAGCCCCTAACTTTAATATCATCATTATCATCGTCATCATCATCATCATATCATCATTATTAATATTTATTATTTTCAAATCATAAGCAACATGAGAATCAACTTCTTTACCACTCTCCTGATGTGAAGTCCTGCCAGCTCTCCCAGATTACTCATTTTCTTACTGCCCAGCTTTAGCCTGGGTAAGGAATTACTGTAGTTTCTGAAGGAAACTAGGAAAGAATGTCATTATTTTTCATATTTATCTTACAGGTTGTGGTCCTGACCTGGAGTTGAGGGGAGGCAGCTGCAGATGGAAATCTTGTCTGAAATCTATTCTCCATGTTGTCAAGGGCTGGTAATGGGCTCAGTCTACCCGGACATGGGGCTGCATCATCCCAGGACTCAATCCAGAGGGAAGGGTGTCTATTTGGTGATCAAGACACCATGGGGGTGTTACGGTTTGGATCTGAAATGTTGCCCAAAGACTCATGTGTTGAAGGCTAGTTCCCCAATGCATTTGGGGGAAGTGAATGGATTATGAGGTTCTGATCTCATCCATGCATTAATCCATTGACAGGTTCACAGTTTAAGGGACTACTGGGAGATTCTGGTTGAAGGACACAGGTGTCACTAGTGGGGTGCCTTTGAAGGGCATATTTTGTCCTTGCCCCTTCTTTCTAGCCAACATCCTTCTCTGCCCCATGTTCCTAGTCATGATGTTCTTCCTTTCCTCAGGCCCAAAGATGGTGCTGGCTGGCCATAGACTGAAAACTCTGAAACTGTAAGCCAAAATTAATCTTTCCTTCTTTAATTTCATTTGTTGGATATTTTATCATAGCAACGAAAAGTCAACCAGCATAGTAGGTTGGTAGGAACGCTGAGTTGTGCAGGAGGAATCAGGAGAGCATGCTGTTTCAAGACGGGATGGCCCAACTGGTCCCTTATGTTCCAGCTGGCTGAGTAGCCACATGGGGTGTGCGCGGTAGAGAGTATTTTGAGTTACATCTCACTATCGGTGGCATTTGCCCTTCTCCTGCCTGGATTCCTATTAGAACCATCTCTCTCTCCCTTTGGAAGAGCTGTATCTTTGGGTTTTGTATCCCCACACTCCTCCCAGCTCACAGTCAGTCCTCACATGTTGAGTGAATGAATGAAGAGGCTCCTCATGCCTGTCTAGGTTATTTGCTGCCTGTGGGGGGAAAACGTGCACAGAAGGATAATTAATTTTAATTTATATTTCATTTATACTTTCCTAGCAATTCAGACAACTTTTCTGAGACTAAAATGCATGGTGCTCAAAAATAAAATGTAAAAACAAAGCTACGCTAACAGTCTGGATGCTTGCCAACCTCAAGAGACACTACCTAATAATGATTTTCAAACATCTGATGGAGTTGATTGGGTTAGGGTTGGAGTCCACCCCCTTCCCCTGTGGATGGGTGCATGTGGGTCCCCATGTGTAATTACTGTCACAGAGTGACATGCACGTTCATGAACAGAATGTGTTATGCACAAGAGAAATGCTTCACAAGCAAGCTGAAGAAACAAAGGAAACTCACTTGATGTATGAAAAAGATCGCTTTATCCATTCTTGATCAGCAGTTTCAAATGATCAGCAGTTTCAAATTCCAAAAGTATTAAGTATATTATATCACCACGACTGGACATTGCATTGTAAGAACTGTTCCAAAGGAAATGAAGTGCTTCCTAGATTGAGTTAAATGGACAGCAGCTGAGATCAACAGTGACAGGTAATAGAGAAAGAATTTCATTTTACTGTAAATAGTAGAATACATAAGAGGTGTAGAAATCACCTAAAGAAGAAAGTGTCATAATAAATAGCATGCTTTTCTTTTGATCTGTGTGAGAGCAGAGGTTCGGGCTGATCTATCTTATTCTAAGAAATATTAGAGGAAAAAAAAAAAGGTGCCACATGATGTTCACGTCATAAGCATACAAAGTAATAATTGTTTCCTTAAAAGACCCAACCCACAGACACAAGTCTTCACAAAGTTAGATTCCATAAGTTTGGAAAACATTTACTCCATTGCTATCCACTGCAAATAATTTTTTCAATGGATTGACAAATACATTAAATTTTCTTGAATGCAACAGAATTTCAGAGCTTGTAGCCTAGATTTAGACATAAACAAGGAAAATCATGTTTCCTGAAATGTTTTTCATTCAAAACAAAATAGCAGCAGAACCCCCCCCCGCCTATTTTTTTATTTTCCTTTGCTACTCAGCTCCTCTGCAAAGGAATTTTATAAGGCACCAAGACAAAGGAGCCGAGTGATTATCCAGTGCAAGGGGAAGCCCTTGAAGGATACAAGCAGACAACAATAAAAGACACAGAACCACAGAACGTAGAACATTACAGCGGGGAGCAAGGGGAAAGAAAGCCAGGAAACCACACCACTCTCTGCTCTGTGTACAGAAGGTCCTCCAGACGCCCATTGTTGCCCTGGGCAGAAACTGACATTAACTGAGTGCTTAATATTGAAGACTTGGGCCAGGCTGGATCTCAGAGGCCAAATCTGTACCAAAAGGCTCACCTGCTGGGAACCTCTCTAACTGGCACTGGAAGATCCACAGAATAAAGCGGAACTGTGGTGTCAGCTATCCCAGGCTTCCAACCTGGGAAATAAAGAGAGGGCATCTTCCCAAACTGCAATCCAGACAACTGAATTGTGACCTCAAGAACAGATATTCAAAGACAATCAGTTAGAAGGGGAGTGACACTGTATCCTAGAGTTGATCCCTCCTTTATCGCACAGGAGCTGTGTTGGCAGAGTTGTTGAACGACTGTGGCCTCAGTTTCCTTGTCTGTGAACTAGGGCTTATCCCACAGTTCAGCAGTTAAAGGAGTGTCAAGGCAGGTGACAAGTGTTATGTACCAGATCTGTAGTGACCAATGAACCCAGAATATTCAGCACAAGATGTCCCCTGAAGCTCACACTCGTGTTAGGAAAGAGGGAGAGGGACCATCCTTTTGCAGAGGGATCCCTACTTATAGCCAGCTGTGCAGAGCTGGCTACCAAGGTGAGGTGGATCTGCCAACAAGGCTGAAGGTGTGTCAAGCAAAGAAAACCTAAACATATGCACAGACAACTTTGGGGCCTAGGGTAAACTATATGACTAGAGGTTCTTGTTAGTTTAGCATCTTTTCAAAATTTACTTGATTTAGTCCTATCAATTTCTCAAAGTAGGGCTGGTATATTTGCATATTCTTAACCTAGAGCCCAAATGAGGAGATGTTGTAGTCCATATGTACTTTATACTTATAAAAATTTCACCTCAAATTCTGCAGAACACTTCTGGCATAGTAACCCTTTAATGTTGTATTTATGGATGTCTATGCAAAGAAGAAAGCATGTATTTTTTTTCATCACCCCTTATCATGAAAGCAGTTATTTACATGCAGATGCAAATAAGTTCAACGTAACTATGGTAAGTAGCCAACTGTTAAAACATCTTAGAATAAATGTTAAGTCTTTTCTGAAGAAGCCAAAAACCATATTGCTTTGCATATGAGTATTTACCAAAAATGCACAGATAGGTAATGCTCTGCAGGATGAAAACCAATTATATCAATTGTCATCACTCTTTCCCAAACATTTACTATGTAACAGAGAACTAAGAAACTGTTGGTTCTTCTCTGATAAATGATAAATAATGATAAATGATAAATGATAATCCAACAACACAAAAAAGGAGCGTTGTCATGGTGGAATTGAAGTATTAGGTGATAAGCTGTGACTACGAGTTAGTGATAAAAATTAAGTACCTTATAGAGCTACAGCCACTATTTCTATTTTTTTATTTCATTGGTGTTCCCAATTTCATGCTCCAAAATAAACATTTACAGTGTAAGTCACAGGGAACAGATCAATTTTGCTCAAAGGCACCACTTACTAAAATCTGAAATTTTAGAAACACAAAATTGGGGGAAATTAAAAATTTTGATTAATTTTATTTATATTCACATGACACAAATTTCACATATACTTTTTCTTTTCTTTTAAATGTTTCCTTTTCTGCATGTTTACACTTACCTACCAACAAAAGTTGAAGGACTGGGAATTAGGAAACTCCTTATTCTTCTTATTTTGACCCTGGTGCTATTTTAGACAAGTTATTTCTCTACAAAATGAAAAACATTCCTTTTCACTATCATATTATTTCTTGGGATGCTGGGGCTGGGGCTCAGTGGTAGCGCACTTGCCTGGCATGTGTGAAGCACTGGGTTCGATTCTCAGCACCACATATAAATAAAGGTCTATCAACAACTAAAAAAAATTATTTCTTAGGGCAGGTTCTAAGATTTTCTATACTATAGAGAAGAACCATGGCTTGGCTAAAGCAGAATGCTGGATAATAAATTATTTTATAGAAGTTTTTGACATGCATTATTTAAATTTTTGGCAACAGATTCACCTTCTCAATAATGTTTTGATAAAATAAGAAAGAACACACATTGGCTGACTGGCAGGAGAAGCTGACAGGGGACCAAAAAATAATTGGGGATTAGAAAGGGATAAATTGATATGAAAATGACCAAGTCATCTACTATGAAATTAATGAAGCAATAGCAAAGTGCTTTGATGAGCTTAAAACGGATAGCAACTACCCACTTGGCATGTCCTGGGGGCCAGGGAGAGACCATAGCCCAAAGCCAGGTTATTAACACTGGGATTAAGGACAGTAGAACTAGGGCATTGAAGACATGGACAGCATCCCTTCATTTGGAGCTAACACTTTAAAAAGAAGTTGTCTACCTCACTGAGCAGCACTGACTTCACCTTCAAAGTCGTCCAAATGGCCATCTGTTCACAGAACTGCCTGGTGCCATCCCCCTGGTTCCTGCCTTTTAGAAGGGCTCGGGGTAACACAGAAGCACACACATTACCTTCTCCACCCTCAGGCTTTGTTCAGAAGCATTAGAAAATGTAACTGAGAAGGGGAGAGTATTTTGCAGGATGGGGAAAGTCCTGCAAGGCATGTTTTTAGAAAGGGTGGGAAATCACCACCCTACTTTGACCAGACAGGCAGGGCTTTGTGTAGGAGGGCGAGGCTGTCAGAAACTGAATGAGGGACAGCTGCAGCTCGGCAGGCTGGTGGGGAGAGCAATTCCAACTGTTCAGAAGTGAGGTGGAGAGTAATGAGCTTTGCAGACTGTCAGGCTGGGAGAGGTCACTCTGAGAAATGGAGTTGGAGGGTCATGATTCTGACCCGTGGTGTTGGCCATAGAGAAATTCAAGCTTCTGGTCAGGCCAGGCCTGCTCCACCAGGTACTGACCAGTTTTCCACCTATGTGTCTGACCTATTCCTTTCTCATTCATAGGGTGTATATGATACTATCCTACCTGTCCTCTACCTAACACTGTTCCATGATCTCAAAGGAGATTCAAAGGAAGCGCTCTGTATTCCCAGGGTGCTGGCATCAGAGATGCTCAGGGCTTCATTAATGCATGAGTAAGAAAATAAGATGGCAGGTGAACCCCCTCCAGTCCTCCTTCCTAAGAAACACACTGGTACCTCCCTGGTCATTGTACCAGCTTGCTGGACTTTCAGTTTTTGGTTTAGGGACATGCCCAGGGTGTCCTGCTCTGTAAGTGGCCATTCACCAACTCCAGGAATGTGCTGGTGGTTTGCCTGGGTCTTATCCAAATGCTACTCCAGCCTCTCTGAATAAATACAGGATGGGTGGTAACTGCAGTTGGAGAAATACTCCACCCTACCTCTAGCCTTATTTTCCACCTTCTTTGCTCTCCAGGGGAATTTTTCCTTTCTCTTATCCTTTTAAATTATTTTTAGAAATTAATTTTGTCTATGATTTCTTATATCCTTACCTTTGTGTGTTACTCTCCATGTGTCTGATTTATACTGTGTTCATTAAAACAAGGAGTAGCAAAAGAGTCAGAGAAAGAACCATGTACATGGCCTTCTTTGGGAATTTTGGGTGAAAGGTAAGAGAGAAATAGATCAGTGAAAGGCTGAACCTGGAGTTAAACTAGCAATACTCTCTCCATTGGCCTCCTATTTATTCTTACAGTGGAGGAAACTGAAACTGATGGAGGTCCAATAGTAATCCAGTATGCTGAAAATATTACCATTTCAATATGTAATAAACATCAAAATCATTAGTAGAACATTTAATATTTTTGCACTAAATATTTGAAATCTGATGCAATTTTTACGGCACCTCTAAGTTTTTATGGCATTAGCCACGAATAGCTATTCTGTCCTTGGAATGTACATTAGTGGCTGGTGACTGCTATATACCTTCTAAGGGCATAATAGCTACCAGTGGCTGGTGATTCTCTTATTGAACAGTGCAGCTCTAGAAATTTCTTGACAATTTTTGTGTCATGAACCTTTTTGGCAGTCTGGTGAAGCCTATGGCTCCTTCTCAGAATAAATTTACATGAATAAAATAAAATCCACAGGTTATAAAGAAAATGAATTGTTTTAAAATGTAATTATAATTTTTTTCTTTATGAGCCTTTACTTTATTGATTTATTTTTATGTGGTGCTGAGGATTGAACCCAGTGCCTCACACATGCTAGGCAAGCTTTGTACCACTGAGCCACAAACCCAGCCATAATTAAAAAGTTCTTTTAAAAACATAAAATTGTGGTATTGTATACACCACAAATTCTTTATTAGCGCCTTAAATAAAATAATCCAGAATCAGGTCTAATAGTAAATTTTAAATAAAATAATATCTAAAAGCATAAATAAAATTTT